GTCTTCTCCTCCTATTCGTCGCGCCGTCCGGTATCGACTCACCACGGTCCAACTTCGCCCAGGTAGCTTCGTTCTGTTGATGTACTAGCTTCATTCTGTTGACTGTTAATATGCAATTTTTCTCGCATGATGTAGCTTCGTTCTATTGATATGCAATTTATTTTTGTCTGGACCACATTTCTTGGAAGATTGATTTACCAAATCATCCCAGAGTAAATAAGTGATAGACGAAAATGTTCTAGTTGGATTTGTCATAGGAATGTGAATTCTTAAGTTCTTCCCTAGACCCTAGTTCACCAGATGTTGCGTACTCTGTCCATTGCATGTTATTTTTGTCCAATTCATCGGTTGAGTTCTCTAACCCCTGTTCTTGTTCCCTGCAGAGATAAAGAAAGTTGAAATATATGTACAGGTAACATTTCTGCTACCTATTTTATTGGGGTGCAATATTTATTAGAACGGTTCTGAAATTTTTTGTATTAGTTCATTGTAGAGCAGAAGTCCAGGATTCTGGAACTCTGATTATATATATAAATTATACAGAATTCTCCTCCTGTCATTATTTCACAATTTGTTACTATTTTTCATTTTCTCCTCTCGAAAAACGCCTGCCTAATATAGTAATATTATGCCATGTGATGCAACTTGATTCCATGAAATCCGAAGAATCAAATGACACTTAAACATACGATTGATCAATCAAACAGAGAAAGAGAACGAAAATTCTCAACTTAAAATGTAAATACATTTTGGGGAAGGGGAGTTATAAAGGTTTTGCAATATTCACCATTTCCAGAATATGTTCGAACCGCACTTGTATTTGTCCTTCCCTTAGCACTCCAACTCCAAGTCTTCAGATATAAATGACACTTTCTGTTGGAAAAAATTAATTAACTGCAGTAGTGATCTGAACAATATAATGTAGAAATATAAAACTTATCGTCCGATCGAGTCTCGTGACAGCACGATGTCCTAAAGTGAAATTACCCGTCAATAATTGCTGCGATCTCCATGGACAATCACTCCCAGGATACAACGATCGTAAACCACTTGTGCAGCAATCACGAATGGTTTTTCTAGAACTCTCAATTGTACTCCACAATAAATGTAAAACCCGAATAAAAGAAATTCAGAATATGAAAAGGAGGGTTGATGCAAGATGATTTTTCTATTGTCTTTTTGTGTGTATTTTTTCAAAACGATATATGGGTTTATATAGGCAAGATGGTAGTAACAGTCTTCACCATGTTAATGCAAAATTTTAATGACTGAGTAGTGGGTGTTTTAATGGCTGTTAGTGGGTTGTTACAAAAACAAACAGTCAGAAAATACTGGCTAGTTTTACCCATTAAATAATAAAGAAAAAAATATTTATTTTAGTCAAGGAAGCCCAAGAGCCCAAGGCCCCAATCAAAACATTTTAATATCTGCGTGTGTCATGTGTATTTCCGGTATATCTGAACCTTTGTACGGGGCCATATACCCCAGTCGATGAGCAAAATCGGAATCCACCAAATCATACTTTCCAAGTGCCGGATGGGGAAATTTATATCCAAACTGTAAATAGCACGAGCTAGAATTCGTGTGTCATGTGTATTTCCGGTATAACCAGCAAGCACGAACGTAAAACATATATTGAAGTCATATCCAGCCAACACATTTTATGTCAGTACTCTTTTCCGACCTATGAAGTTCACGCGTTTGTGACGCGGTAGCACAGCCCTCAAATGTGTACCGTCAATAGCCCCAATGCAATCCTGAAAGAGTGGGTGCTTGATTGGGTCCGACATATGCGGCTCGACACCGTCGTTGTAACTCTAACACAATCATATCATAAGCTCAGAGAGCGCAATGATGACACGTAGCATTTCTTTGAAGAATTGAAAAATGATTTGCAAAGAATGATTAAAGATCGTTGTCATCTGTCAGTATCCCTTCCCATGTACAAGCACGTACAAGAACACACCAACCTTCTTGTATATATTCACCTGCTAGCTACTGCATAAGCTATATTCGTCTCGCGAGATATACGTAAAGTATCGCAGCATCGGTGGGTACATTCAAATCTCCTGATAGCACATCTATTTGTTTCCGCTTATGGCCTCCATCATGAACATGTATCCATTTCTGGAGAACGGGAATCTTCGAACACGATTTCGCTGCGTGCGATAATAGTTTCTCGCATCGGTTCCGATAATGGCTAAAAACCTGACCCACGCTGTCACGTCGTCTACTAGACGTGTAAACAACTCCTCTTTCCCGAGCTCTTCCTCCTTGTCGAAGCTCGAAAATAGCATGCAATCGAAATTCAAATCACCCATGGTGTAACATAACGTGTATATTTTCTCCTACACACTGGGACTTCACCTTCTTATAACTCAATTTATAAAGAGGAGTGCAAAAATTTGTATATATTTGAATTGATTGCCTTTTTGTAGCAATTGGGCCTAATAATTGTGACAAGATAAGGAAAAAAATAAATGTTGCATGACTAGAGGCATGTCATACAGGAATGGGGCCCAATGATTGTGCTAAGAGGAGAAAAAAATAATTGCCTCATGACTAGAGACATGTCATGCAGCAATGGCAAGTGCTGCAAGATTCCCTGCAAGTGATGTGCAAAATCTCCAATAAGATCTACTTAACATGTCTCACACCAGGTGTAGTAGTAAGCAACACGTGATGAGAATATGGAAATAGCATTACTATATACATAAGTGTCAAATTCGTTTACAATGAGCTGGAAAGGTACATGAAAAAGCAAATCTTCGGAGGGAAAACTACACCATTATATAGGTACATAGTGAACCCAAAAGTCCTAGTGGAGCGATTCGCCACATTCATTGAACTGTCATTCAATCCATTCAAAATTTTCATCTGCATCTTTCATGACAGCAAACATATCAGGATAGCGCTTCTGTGAAAAAAAGCAGGTGTAGAAGTATAGAGGTGTGCGACGCTCGAACCATCTCGTCACGTGCAACTCCCTGGCACAAGGGGCCCAAGTGTTGTCGGTCGGATTGATGATGCTGATGATTTTCGCCGCCACTTCCTCGGATGCAACTTCATGCTTCAGATCTGACCGGATATGTTGCAGTCATGATTCGGGGCCGGTTGACGATCGCAGATCAATGAGGAGTCTAAAGGGAAGCAAATCGCCAAAAATTCTCACTTGTCTTCCTGTTTGCTTTCGTGAAAGTGCATTTATCTTTCACTGTGAATTATTATTATTATTATTTTTATTATTATTATTATTATTATTTCTGGTTGTGGAGAGGAGGCCAAAGGACATGAGCGAAAAATGAAAATGCATGTATCATATTGGTACAAGACTTTTAACAGTACTTGTCAGAATCTCATCGATGTTAACGGCCAAAATTTGTACTAAAATGGGACAATAACTGGTGCAAACAGAGACTTAATTATGCTCTTCGAGAACAAGTAAAATTCAACTAAAATATATGTCAATAATAGTGTGTGCTATTTCAGGAGCAATAATATTCCTTCTAGAATATTAACAATGTTGAGCTATTTCAGGAGTACTAATAAATTATTGTGTAAAAATATTAACTCTTCATAAATATGTTTTCTAGACAAATATTAATATTTGTAGAGTTGTAGTTCTTCGGGAGTACTTTATATTTTGCTATTACTTGTTCTGAATAAATTAATATCTTTTTCTGGATTATTAAAAATTGTAATTCATGCTTTTTATGAGCAGTATGTCAGTATTCTTCTGAAATATTGAAAATTATAATTCATGCTCTTTGGGAGCAAATAATATTCTTCTAAAATATTAATAATGATGTGCTACTTTACAAGTAACAATGAATTATTATTTAAAAATACGAATTCTTCAAGATCATGTTTTTCTAGTAGAATGTAAATATTTCAAGAGTTGTGCTTCTTCAAAAGTAAATATATTCTTTTAGTATATTAATAGTGTAGTGCTACTTCAGGAGCACCACCAAATTATTTGTAATAGAGAGATACTAGAGTACTAAATTTATAAAATATAAAATGTATTAAACCTAGCTACAAGGTTCCGTGAAGATTAAAGACAATATATTTCAACATCCCATGCTTCAAATACTTCTATTTTATTTCTAAAAAATCCCTCAGTAAATTGGATAACCTGCGACCACAAAACCTGAATAAAATACATGCACGTGGTAGTCAATTCACCCACTTTCAATGCCTCTTTTTTTTTTTTTTTCACAATTTTCAAAATGCATGCATATATATAATACAGAGAAAAAAAAGATTTGATTGAAAATCAAAGAAAAAAATTTATTCTGACGGGGCAAGCTTCATGTAATGAGATTATCGTGCTGATAATGTATTATAAAAAGAGAAAAAGAGAAAATAATATAAGAGTGAAAACTCAACTGTGTATTATTATGTACCAATGTCATATATTTATAGGGTTCAAAATAAGAGTTACAATTAGAATAAAATAGATTTTCTAAATTAGATAAGATTTATTTATATATCATAATAACATTAAATAATAATCAATAATCATCTCATTATTTTACGACAATTCGACTTCTTATTTGACAATTTCCAATTAGAGCCTTAGTTGAATTTATTATGCAATCTAATTAATGTAAATAAATGAGGCACGCAATAAAATGGGCTAGATGCCTGAAGTTCCATACAAATCTAGCTCTTGTTTGAGCCCAATTTTTTTGATAAGAATGTATTTTTAAATAGTGTATTAAAAAGAAAAGTGTCGTTAAAAAATAAGAAAAAATTTTGAATTTGCATATAATATTATTTTATTAAAAAATTTGTGGTTGAAATGATGTTAAAACAATATTTTTAAAAAAAAATGCGGCTCAAATAGGGCCTGGCACTGGCATTTATTTATTCTTTTCTTTTTCGTGTTAAAATAGAAAATAGATTAAAAAAGAAAAGATTGGGTCGTTAACTGTCAAACTATATGGGCCCGAGTCCAAACAAAAAAGCCCATGAAACATTGGATCTGCCATCTGCATTCTGTGCCCTAATTTAGATTCATATAAATGAATCTCGTACCTTGTTGAAACATCTTCTTCACCGTAACCCTAAAACTCGCAGCAGCAATTTCTCTGACTCCGAAGGTAAATCCTCCACTTTCGATAGGTTTTCCCTCTATATTCTCTCCAATTCTCGTGATGTTATGTCCAATTTTTATATGTTCATAGTTGTAATCAAAATTTCATTTTTCTGTAAGTCAGAATTGTTGAAGGAAAATGACTTTCGGAGATCTCGCTTGCACCTATGCTTGCCTGATTCTTCACGATGATGGCATCCCCGTCACTGTAACTTTTTCTTTCATATATACATATATATTTATTTATTTATTTTAATGAATATTAGTTGTTTCTTATTGTTTTTCGATTTTAGGCGGAGAAAATTGCTGCAGTGGTTAAGGCCGCGAATGTGTCAGTGGAATCATACTGGCCAAGCCTTTTTGCTAAGCTCTGTGAGAAGAGGAACGTGGAGGACCTTGTCGCGAACGTTGGAGCTGGTGGTGGTGGTGCCGCAGTAGCAGTTGCTGCCCCTGCCGGTGGCGCTGGTGCTGCTTCTGCCGCAGCTGCCCCTGCCGCTGAAGAGAAGAAGGTATGGGATTTACATCATTAATACACTTATTCGATTGTTCGAGACGTGATACTTTTATTCCTTTACATTAAAATTTTCGATTTTGATACTTTTATAATTAATTTTTTAGATTAATAAATTAACAGTGTGCTTTTGAATAATTATTTTTCAGGAGGAGCCCAAGGAGGAAAGTGACGACGATATGGGCTTCAGTTTGTTTGATTAGAAGGAGCTATTTTAAGTACGTATTTAGCTTTTATATTGGAGTTTTGTTAACTCATTATAGTAGTTTTGTTATGTTTTGAAAGATTATTATGTTCATGAAATGGTGGCTTGTCCAAATTTCTTAAGAAATTGAGCAACAATTGAATTTTGGCTGACTTGGTTTCTCTAATGCTTTCTCTAAGATTTGTTGTTTTACGTTCGGTCATTAATATTGATGTTGGAAGTTGCACATAAAATCTGGTAGCTTTTTTACCTGATGTCTTTGATTCTTGATACCAATCTTTGATTTTATGGAATATTTGTGCACTGAGTTGAATTTGTTATGAGTTTTATCATATTGTTTCTTGATTCTGATCACTGCAGCCACGTTGTTAATTAAAGGCCTGATTTTTCATTTTTTAATTTCTTGTTCGATTTAATGAGATGATTTATGCCTGTTCCATTTATGCCTGTTCGATTTAGTGATTCTTAAGACTAAAGAACTTTTTAAATGCATGAAAGTCTGGTTTTCAAAATGGTTTTGATTTTTATAGAATTCTCTAGTTCACTTTATTTTTTTGTAGAAGATATAAATTCCAATATTCACAATTTCTCTCCCGTGCACCCTTAAGGAATTTTATAGACTTTCTAGGGGAAATGACCTTTTTTAACACAGGAAGAAATTCTTCTTCTCACTATGTTCTTCCTTGTCATCTGGTAATGAACTTTTTATCTTTTATGTATTGACCGATGATTTTTTGACGTGCTACTTATGTTTGTTATGGTTAAAATTAAGGTTTATGATTAACATTTTAAGAACTGTGATAAAATCTGTCTGACTAGGGTTCTTGAGTTAATCAAATTTTTTCGTGGGTTATTTTATGATCCTTCTTGTACCCCTTTTTCTAATAATCTTTGATGTGACCATGTCCTGTTTGATGGCCATTATTTAGAGAAAATAGAGTTTTGAATAGTGATATTTAGAGAATGCGTGTTAAAAAGATGGGGAAAAGCTCTGATGCTTGGACTCTTCGGAATAGTTGGAGTACTCGTGTCGGATACGACACGACATTGTTATGGGTATGAGATATGTGTCGGATCCTCCAAATTTTAATCGGTCATTTCGTTGTTTTTGCTTTTCTTCTTTCTTTTTTCCTTGCCTTTTCTTCTTTCCCGTTTCTAATTAGTACTCCATTAAGTCCAAATTATAATCAAGTCCCTTATTTGCTATTTTATATATCATTTAATAATGTCTATAATTGAAAACTAAACCCAAAAATTTTATTTTATGTCTCAATTCCTTATTCAATATCCATTTCCTTTTTTTTATGAATAATTGATTTTGATTTATTCAAAATGACTTCTTGAATTAGTAAAAAAATTAAACCTTGAAAGACGTATTAACGTACTCGTGTCCGAAAATTGGACTTTTTAAACTATATTCTCCTATCTTATATTTTATGAAATAAAAGATTCGATACTTAGATATGTACCTATACCGGATATTCGTACTCGAGTCCGAGCATCATAGGGGAAAAGTATTGAGTTTACAAGCTTGAGGGATAACTCAGTAGGGCTGGGCAAATCTCCAAAACCGAATTGAATCGAACCGACTGTTCTTGTCAAATTAAATACCCGAACGGGTATATGAATTGAGAACCGACGGGTATGGTTCGGTTCTCGGTTCTAGACCAAGAACCGAAGAACCGAATAAGAATCGTTTCTAATTTTTTTTATGTTGAATAAATCAAATTATTTTAATTTTAATTTTTCTTAACAAATTAACAATTTCTAAATCCAAATTTTTGACCCAATAATTTGTTTCACTTTTAATTTTTTAATTTTTGGCCTAATTGCCTATTTTATTGTTTCATTTTTTAGCCTAACAAGATCCAATATACTAAATAACCCTAAACATCTACACTAAAGTGCATAACACTGTCTCAACTCTCGCACTAACTCTCGTAGCCTCGCTGACATTTCAAAACCTATACAATCGTCGGTCGACGTTGTGACCTTCGATTGAAGCCGTGACCTCCGTCGATCGAAGTTATGACCGTAGCGATCATTTGAACAAGGTAGTCTACTAGTCTCTGACATTCCAAAATCATTGAATGTGTCATTAGTTGTATTTATATAATATTGTTATAAATGTTAAAAAATTTAATTATTGTACAGAATCGAACGGAACCGAATCGAACCGAACGGAATTGAACTCGAATGGTTCCATAATTATATATGGACCCGACGGTTCCATTTACTAGATACCCGAAAATTTTGGTTCGATTCGATTCTCTTTAGAACCGAATCGACCTGCGCCCACTTCTATAACTCAGTGGTCAAGCATTGGATTTGCTTTCTAATTGTCATCAGTTCAAGTTCCTTCAGGGTCACTGAGGTAAGTACTTGGCCCTAAACATTAGGGCCCTGTGGAATTAATTGAGGTACACGTAAAATGGCCTGGACATCCATGGTCATTAAAAAAAAAAAGCACTGAGTTTACTTTCAAAATATTTTATTGTTTCAGTGTTTGGTTAAAATTGAATATGAGAATATAACAGTTGAAACAATAGTCGTCAAACTAAGGCAATTTTCAGTTTCACCTAGGATTTTACAAATATGAGCGTGTTTGGCTGCACTACTAACAAGAGAAATCAACAGAAGCGAGAAGCGAGAAGCGAGAAGCGAGATGAATATATAACTTCTTTGAAAAGTAACTTTTGATGATGTGTTAACAAAATTAAGTATGATATTTAAGATGATGATGCTTTCTTAAGTTGTGTTTATATGTACTGCTGCCTTCTGCATGATTAAGGGCACAGCATTGAAGCAGTACACGGGGGACATTAATTTCAATGACATGGCTCTTATTGATTCACATTCTTTCGGAAAAATACATTATTAAAAAGTGAATTGACATTATTTCAACCATAAATTCTTTAATAAAATAATATTATATGTAAATTTAAAATTTTTCCTTATTCTTTAACTACGCATTTTCTATTAATATGCTATTGAAATACACGTTCGTATGAAAATAATGTGGCTCAAACAAGGGCATATTTTGCACGATTCACAATTATTATTCAGTCGTTCATTGTTTATTTCTATTACTTTCTAATTTTATTTAAAGATAAATATCAGAAAACCTCACTACAAGCTTGTCCTTGTGTGATATACCTCCATACCGATTGGAAATTGTAGAAAAGGTTCCTGTTTGAAACTTTTTGTCCGAAATGCTCCATTGCCGTCTAGATTATTTAGTTTAACCGTTAAAAATAGTAAAATTTGTTAAAATTAAAAAGCATTAATTACATTTTCAGTACTCAAAATTTTTATTTTTTACAAATTATACCTGAATTTTTTATATGTCACCTAGAATTTCAAACTACTTTATTTTCCATCCCACCCAACCTTATTCCACCCACTTCTTGTTCTTCTCGACATTCAACAATACCCTTATCTTCTTTTTCACCTTGTTCCCCACCTTCAACCATTCTCACTCCAGCCCACTTCATCTTCTTCCTACAATGCAAATCGCTACTTACGCGCCACCCTAATCACCTCATATCTTCATCTTCTTCTACAAAACAATTTCCCATCTCTGTAAATCGAAATCTGCAAAACAAACCCAAAATTCAGATTCTGAAAATTAGATGTTGGAAAGGCGAAATAAAGAATGGCATCAACAGCTGCTTCTTTGGGTTCGTAAACTTTATTCTGTCAATTGGTGGTCCTAAACTTCAAAAATCTTCTGTTTCTAATCCTAGTTCACTCACTTTTACGAGGTATATAGAGGTTGCTACGTCTGTCTTGGGTAATTTCTTTTCTATTGTTCGGATAAACTTTTGGTTCTTGATTCTTGGAATTTTGTTCTGAAAGTCAATTTAACAAAGTGTTTGAAGTTTTACCAAAAGAGTCTTGAATTGTTTGATAGTTAATTAAATGTATGACATAATAACTGAGATTAGAAGTACTTTTCTTTAGGTATTAGGATATTGATAGGCATACTTTGGTAACTAGTCCTGTTTGACCCCCATTAAGTTACATTCTATTTTTCTCTCTCTTATTTTTAGCTACACAATTTTTCATAAAATAATATTAAAAGTAACTTTCTTTTTCAACAAGTTATTAAAAAAAAAAAAACACTATTACACCCATTATCATTTTCAAAAAAGGGGCCAAATAGAGGTATAGTTTGTGAATTTGCATATGCTATAATACGAAAGAAGTTAACTTTTTGGTATTTATTAGATATTTCTGCCCTATTTGAGTCGCATTCTTTGAAAAAAAATACATTTTTAAACAGTGATTTGACATTATTTTAATTACACATTCTTTAATAAAGTAATATTACATATAAATTCAAAAAATTTCTTTATTTTTTAACAACATATTCTCCATCAATTTACAATTCTAAAAACACACTTGTCAAGTACATATATATATATATATTTTTAAATATCTTAATATGAATTAGTTTTCAGCTCCCTTCAATGAAGGTGGAGGCGGTGATGTAAGCGGGGAAGAAGGTGAACTGGGGTGGAGTGGGTATGATTGAATGTGGGGAAGGAGATGAAATGAAATGGGTTAAAATGGGATGGGATGGGGAGGAAACTAAAGTTTTAAAGTTTTGGGATTGTAAATGGCACATATAAAAAATTTGGTATTAATTTGTAAAAAAATAAAAAGTTAGGGTAATGCAACTGCAATTATTTCTTTTCTAATTTTGGAATTTTTGTTTTACCGTTTTTAACTTTTGAAATAACGGATCTTGATGACGGGGTATTTTGAACAAAAGGTTTTAAACCGGGATCCTTTCTACGATTTTCAATAGGTAGAAATTACATGGTACATGGACAAGTTTGTAGGTAATATCCTACTATTAATCCTTTATTCAAACATTCAGGTAATGTACAATAAGTTAATTTTCAAAATATTTTATTCACTAATCTTGTTGATCTCGTTTTCAGCTGGGGCTACGCGAACAACAGATATCGGACTTACCGTGCACACGGAAGCCTAGTCCAGCACGCTAAGACGTGCAAATGGCTTGGAACGGTCTGATGAAGGGCATGGGAACGGCTCAAAGGCGCGGGACAGCAATATTCGGAATTCGACAAGTCATTTGCGGAACAATTGTACAATAATTACCAATTGTAGTGAATAAAAGTAATGTAAACTTGTTTGTATTTGCGAGAAAGTATAGTGAAGTG